GAAGAGATTTCTAAGCTCTTTCTATTCTCTTAAGATAGGGCACGGATACTTCAATGCTTATCTAAAGAGAGTAAAAAGAAGAGAAACAGAACTCTGTAAATGCGGAAGACCACAAACAGCAGAGCACCTACTTCTATACTGCGGTTTCTATAGCGCAGAGAGAAACCAACTTAAAAAGACTCTAGGCCAGAAAGTACTTAAACTCCCACTCTTACTCCACACTACGAGCGGTATAGAAGCTACTCTAGCTTTTATTACTAGCACGAAGATAGGAACAAGAAAGTGGCATGTAGGCCAAGAAGGCTAGAAAGAAGAAAAATAAGAAAAATAAGAAGAAAAGAAGAAAAACAAAGAACAACGAATTTGATTTTACTAGCACTATTTCCTATCCCCTAAGAGAGCTCGCTAGAAGGCAGCCTAGCTGCTCTATATCTCTCCCTGTTACCAAACTGCTCTTTAGCACCAGGCGTCTAGAAAGCTAGTACTAGCTTAACTAGACAAAGGCCGAAGCACCATAGTCATGCAATACAGCACAACGTACCAAATTGTAACTAGTTAGATAGAACGGCCTTTGGCCAAAGTCCTACATAGCCAACGGCTGATACAGGACTATAATGGAATAATAATAATAATATACTAGAGCTTTATGCAACATACTCAGTTACTTAGTAGTACTAAGATATACTAATTACTAAGCATCTTACAGGCGATATGCGGAGTGCTCAGTTGCTTAGTAGTACTAAGACATACTAATTACTAAGCATCTTGCAGATCACGTGATGCGCTAGTCTTAAATAAGTATCTCTGTTTCTTACTGCGGATTCGCCGTCTTATAGATTACTCGTTAAATAAATGTAACAGCGAAATGTCCTCCACATTCTAAGGCTGATCGTAACATATTTATACAGAACTATGCAAAATAAATGTCCACATTTTAACAAGTTGCCCAATGCCTGGCCCGTGCCCCTTTGAAACCTAATAAATAACTAGTTCCCCTCGGCCGTGGATCTGCGTGCATCCTCATTTAAAGTCCATAGTGTTGCAATAACAGCACCCGGTCCAAAGAGAATAGTAGACACTGCCGTCGTTGCAAAAAAGCCCAGTTTAGCCATGAGGCTGCGTGGATCTTTGCTTTTCGCGGTAACGGCGCTCAGAACCCAAAGGAGCGTGCTAATTGCGAAAATCAAATACTCCGCGTCGATCGAGCACGGTGCTGAGATCGTAAACTGAGACAGCACAGCGGCAGCAGAGTGGAAGTCGAATATCAGAGTGCCAGATAGGACTGAGGAAACCAAGTACCCGACGTGTGCCACCATAGCACACAATCCCGACAGGAGCCAACCTTTCTTTAGGTATGGTAAGTCTTCGTGCGCCTTCATTACTTCAGCAAACTTGGTCTGATTGCCGGCAAACTTTGACAGGACCAAATCGAAAAGCAAAGGCATGACTGGAAGACAAGAGAGAAGTCTTGATGAGCTGATATAGCGCCTCATGTCCAACTCGGGCCAAAAGAGTGGGATGAACGTGAAGGAGAGAGCTATCCCAACTGCTAGCTGCAGTGAGAGATTGAATGTCTTCGCATGCTTCAGTGAAATTCTAGAAGTCCACTGACCAGGAGATTTCGATTCGACGAGAGCTGCTTCTACAGTGCGGAGGAGATAATAGACGACTCCGCCAAATCCCAGGCCACAAAATAAAAATATCGAGCATATTATTGAAATCCTATGCGCAATGTCAGTGGCCAAGAGCGAGGCAGAGGGTCGAGAAATAAAGCAAGATCTCTTACCTGGCGGATATGAGCCTCAAATTCTTTACCCTAAAGCTCTCAGATGCGATGATGCCTGCCATGGGGAGAGTATTCAGAATAATACAAATGGTGGCCCACAAGCGTGTGATGTCAGAACCGAGTTCAGGGAGCACCGCGTTCAGTGACTTCATATCCCTTGGGCTTGGGAGACTGCTGAAAATGGACACGGTGGATGATAAAGGATAAAGGATTCTTTGAGCAGTCGTCCTGGTACTTAATAAACCACTGAAGGCAGCAAGGAGAAACAAAGTCGCGACCATAGAAAGGACTTTTTCTCGAGGTTTGAGCGAATCTGGCAGGGTCCAACCCTCCCACGGTATCAATGCGGGCTTGGTCTTCACTGGAATAAAATCCAGAGTCGGCCCCCGGATCATAAAGTTTGAAATCGCATTCAGTTCGAAATCTTCTCCCAGGATGGGAAAAACGTGGCGTCCGATCACCTTGAGCATTATGTTATCCTGTGCGTGTAACCGTGTGAGAAATGCAGAAGTCTGGGACATCTCTTTCACCCGATCCTTCCGATTGGAGTGATAGTTCTCGAATAGCTCGGTTATTTCTGCAGTGGTCATATTTCCAAGGTTCTCGTGCGACTTTTTTGCTTTATGGAGCAAGTTCGCAAGAACAGCAGCGCTCTCGATAGCAGAGTTGCCGCCTTGCCCAGCATTTGGAGTTACCTGAGATTCGAATTAATCGCTGCAGATCTCTCTTACAATGTGGGGTTATACTTTGTGAGCCGCGTCACCGAGAATGACCAAGCGGTTGGAATGCCAGACATCAAAAACAACTTCCTCAAGAGGCACCATCGCACACTTTGTCCGTAGCCTCCATAAATCGCTAAAAGACGTGTGCTCTGTCACCATCAAATCGCTATTCTTGGCAGCCATATTCTCCATATCCGTCTCCCCAAAGCGAGGGATATTGGGATAGCTCTTGCGCTCGTTGAACTTCTCAATCAAGAACCAAAAATGCTTGTTCCTTGAGGAGTTCATGACAACAGAAGATCGGAACTGGTCAAAATTGACATGACTGCTACCCTCGATAAAATCAGGGTCATCGCTCTTGTAGACGGACATTCCGAATGTACAATAGTAGTCCGCTACAATGGCTTTAGACTCGTTTGATGAAGGGCCGCCACCGGTGCCTTGGTCAATGTCTTTCCAAACATGCTTTCGAACCATACTATGTATTCCGTCTGCGCCGACGACGATGGGTGCTCTCCAAACGCGTCCATTTTTTGTTTTGACCGCGATCAGCTTTTCACCGATTTCAAGATCAGTAACATGTTGCGAGGTATGTATGTTTTCTTTGTCCGGGATGTTGTCGTACAGGACCTTCAAAAGTTCTTCTCGCTCGAAGAATGTGGTTGGGTATCCATGCCTATACATCATGGAGTCAATAAGACGGCTAATGCATCTGCCAGTATAAAAGATTCTGGTACGCACCTCTTTTGTATTTCCTCTGGAAGGCGAGATTCTCGAAACTTCTGACCGTTGGGCAAACGGCTTGTGGATGAGTGGACTGGGGCCGTCAACCGAAGGATCTGATCACATAAGCCAAGCTGATCCAGAATTCTCAATCCGTGAGGCATCAAGCCGATACTGGCACCGCCTGCGAAACAGATTTCAGCTCCTCTCTCGAGTACGACATAGCTGATGCCGGCTTTTCTTAGGCAATGAGCAAAGGTGAGCCCAGAGACTGCTCCACCAACTATGATAACTTCCACCGCGGATGACATGGCGAAAATGAGATGGTCTAATAGTTTCTGAATGCTGTGTTTGTTGGATAGGGATTGGACACTTGAAGTGTGTCTAGATTTGACTTAATATCCCCCAAATCTAGTCTTTGCTGACTAAGGAGCTCTTGACAAAATGAAATGAATGCGATAACAGTCAGGTTGTGAAGTTGAGTATTCTTTCTCGCATTCTCTTCGACATGACCGTACGGCGTGGCTGTATGTGTCACATCAAATTGCATAAAGAATGTGGTCCGAGCTCCGAGTCAGCGATTCATACGTAAAGCTTAGCTTCCCAGAACCTATTCCGAATGCAACCGTGTTGGGCAATAATGATGAAGATCTTTGAAGAATGATCTTGTACTATGTGTCATGTCATACAGCTAATATTGGTTTTTGAGATTGTTTTTCCCAAGACAAATCCGTTGTTGATCCCCATCCGCGAACTTTCGCTACGCTGCACTCTGTCCGCATTACTTCTACACTCTTGGCAGAATTAGGCACATCGGCCTCTTCCCATCAGCGCAATGACTATTCTTGAAAAAACTAGTTGCGGAGGCGGTTTGGTACCCTTGACGATGAGGGCAGCCATTTGCAAGGAGTTCTGCTTTCTCATTTATCTCAGTCTCACAACTTTCAGGTACTGACTGATTGCTATGCTGGGGCTCCATGTGTCGTTGAGAGAGTTTCTGTGCCCACACCGACTGGTCGTAATCTACTGGTGAAAATGAAAGCAGCATCACTCTGCCAAACTGATCTGACTATCATGAGTGGCAAAGTCGGAATGGACTGGTTTCCATTGCTGCCTGGTCATGAGGTTGTCTGCGCAGTAGTGCAAGTTCCAGAGGAAGCCGCGCTTTGGGGCTTTAAGGTTGGCGACCTCGTTGGTGCGAGTTTTGATTGGAGTGTCACTCTTGCAAGAGTGATCGCTTCGAATATTGTGCTCAGACCAAAGCCAAAGGCGTTCACATAGCAGGCTTTTTCAGCGAATACACGACTTTGGATGCAGCAAGCACAGTGCTTATTTCACGCAATTTTGGCGTCAACACTCCCTTGAAAGGACTCGATAAACCACTTTGCCCCATATTCTGTGCCGGAATAACCATTTGGGATGGTCTGGAGCAGACCAAACTTGGAGTCTCCGAGTCTGTGGGCGTGGTTGGCGCGGGCGACTTGGGTCAGCTTGCCACAGCCTTTCTGACAATCCTGGGGCACAAAGTAGTTGTGATGGATGTCCAGGAGAAGCAGCTGGTCGCCTGCAAAGAAGAATACCCTGGAGTTGAGACTATCAACAGTGACAATTGCTCTGATCTTGCTACCAAACTGAGGGAGGTGAACGATGGTAATCTTCTCAATGTCGCCTTTGTCACCTCTGGCGTCAAAGCTGCCTATGATTCAACACTGCCTTTGCTGGAGCCATATGGAAAGTTAATTGTCATAGGTCACCCTCCCAAGCCGCTGGAGATCTCTGCATATATGATGTCAGATAAGAGACTCAGGTAAGCGGATACTATAGCAATAACTGTAATTGTGGAACCGCTGAATTGATGGTCTCCTTGGGTTTGGCTAACATGGGATGTGACAGTATGATTAGGGCGAGGGTCCCTAATCCTGCATCTGCTGCAAAATGTGTGAAATTCTGTCGAAGACTCTCGGTGTATCCCAGAGTCAACTCAAGAGTTTCAGTTGGGGGATTTGAACGAGATGATTGCAATGATGACGCCAGGCAAGGTACACGAAGGTCGTTTGGAAGTGTACATTGATTAAGAGTTCATATGTCTTGAATAGACAAGAAAGCACTTTCCATCCCAACGAAAACTCATGCAGCGCCACAAAAAAGCAGATAACGAACTAGGCACGGCAATGGAAATATCGGGGCAACTAGATATGCTGTAGTTTAAAAGCGTTTTCCCCTGGTGAACGCCTTCTCATAATAGATAAATGCCCATTGTTGAGCCAGGCCGACGAGACAATTAAACTGCGAGCGCATACTGAAGTCATTTTCGAGCAATTTTGAATAATTTGTCGCTTTCCTTACCAGTTTTTACATTCTAGAAAGGCAGCATTATCTAATCTGGTGTATCATCCTGGCACAGCATGACATAGATCCCGTTAGTGCATTGACAAATGCCTCATTACGTACATTGGGACCATTTCATAATCCATAACTTCTGCCCAACTGCTGATCTGTATACATCTAGCCGCTTCCCTGCTGTGGTAGCCTCCACTATACAGAATTAAACTATTGTATGGTTATTATCGCGTCCTTTTATGCCGATGTCGAAGGTTTCCAAACATTCTTCACTCCCGGCGACGACGTCTAAGCAGACATCCCAGAAAAGTTCAGTACTTAATGACAGCGCAACGTGTATTCCAGACAATGCAGGCATCAGTGTGGTGGCCGGCAGGCATAGTTCATTCTTGCTGAGACTCTACACCATGCTGGCTGCGTTTGCATTGGCATCTTTCGTCCTGAATTGGCACCTGAGAGTTCAGTACTTTGGTCTTGCAGCCCTGTTCCCTGGTGGTGGTTGGGTTGGGATCGGTGGCTGGTGGATCCTGGCCTTTGTTTTTAATCTGTGGGTCAAAATCGCCCTTCCTCTGTCCTATAGCAAGTTAATGACCAACGTGATATGACTAGGATCTTCTTCGTTACGAGTCTGTTCCTGTGGTTCGCAACGGCAAATATTATCCTACCATTCTTGGCTTGGCCCGGACAAGCTCTAATACTTCCCATTCTACCCATCAAGCACAGGGCTGGATATAGTGTCGTGTTTGTCCCCATGATGGCTGCGGTGACTGCTTGGTTTATCTTCAGATTTCTGCAACAAGAATCAGCCGCAGGGCGTCAAAGACGCCGCCAGAGAAACGAGTATCTCCCCTCCATTATCAAGGAATTGGTTTCTACAGCGGCACCACAAAAGTCCTTGGTCGAACTTGAGATTCAGCTAGAAGAACTCTCGCAACTGCGACACATTTTAAAGATTGCCATGCAAGATCAGGATGATTGGTTTGTGCCCTTGTGAGCATATGCCAAGCGATTCCAAGTACTAACGCATTCTACTAGGAGTAACTTCAGTGTCATTGACCAATTTCAAACAGCATCCATCCGCTACCAACTATGCGAGATAATCTATGTCTTGGCTCTAGCCAATAAGATATACACACCATCTTTCAGGGGTGGCTATTTACAGCGGGCACAGAAGAAGGTGATATATAAGTATTGTCAAAAGAAAGTCCTTAACTACTGGAAGTGGGAATGCCTCTGGGGCAAATTAGTTTGTGCACTCTGCTCAGTGTTTTCGAAGTCATCTAAAGATAGTAGAGCACCAACTATGAGCCCGTCAAAAAGGACAATATTATGCTTACAGCCTTCCTTCTCCTGGCAATCAGCCTCTATGAAAGCGCAACTGGCGATCATACCTTTTCGGAAGAGAATGCCTTGGAGCTCGTTATCGACAATAGCCACCGCTATCGACATTCAGCTACAACATTGGCACAGGCCCTCTTCGAAAACTTTAGCATCTCATCATATTGCCTGTATGCATGCGAGGTAAGAAACTTTTCCGATACCACCTTGATTGCCATCTAACAACGGGAGCCCAACTGGATATACACATTCTGCAATTTGAACGGCATAAATAGCTTACTTGCACACGATGAAAATACGGGTCGACGCGATGTGGAACTGGTTCGCGCCTCGTTCCATAAAGCTTTAGTTGAGGACTTTATGGTATGAAACCACCCTTGGCTTCTTTTGAAAACTTGATCATTGAGACCGATTTTCTCAGGACGAAAGTGGAAGCGCACACCCGATTCGTTCATCTCCGACCGGTATGTAAACCAAAAAAATGAATAGAGGAAGGAAATATTGATTAGACAACTAATCTAGGGCTACGTCTTCCTAACATTGTTGGAGCTGCCAATGAGTTCTCGGTTTCGTGCCTCGCCGCACCGAATTTCCCTGACCTGTCGCTTCGTTCCTATGCGATTGCACGTCATGAATACATGGAGTTTGACTCTCAGTGTAAACTTTCGTTCAAGAATATACAGAGCGGAGACATGCTCGATCCTGGAAACTACGGCAGTTCGATGGCCTTGATGTACGCGTCTAGTCTGATGGCCGCACACGAGCATGGGGACAATGAGGTTACCCGCCAGATTACCACCATGATTGACAATGATCAAGCTTTGCTACGGACTGAGAAAGACGGGTTTGTTTGGTACGAAGGAGCCTCGTTGTTCATGAAGTGTCAACTTCTGCGCGCTCGGCTCTGGCTTCGGTCTGGCTGGAACCGCTTCATGCAGCCTTCGAGTGATGCAGTGCAACGTGGTCCATATCTTACAGATGTCAACTTTGAAGAGGTGAGTCGAAGTCCATCTTAACCTCCATGCCGCTGACGTTATCAAAACTAGGCCATGGTCGCGAAAGCAATATCCTACACCGGCGATGATTTAGACCTCGTACTCTATCCCGGCACGGAAGCGATATCCACGTGGATATCTATCAAGAATCTTAAGCCAAGCTCAGGTTACATGATTAAGGACTGTATGAGGTTTGCCTCTAACGAGCAGGGTGAGGCAAGAATCTCTGTTCAGCTAGACGGGAGAACTGCTATCCAAATTGCCCCAGCTTTATCATGAGAAGAGGTCTCACTTGACACTTTACTCTTTGATTTCCATACGATTTCTTAAGGGATCAGTCCTATCGTTACGAAGAGCTTTTCAGGAAATCTTAGAAGGACAGCAGATGGGTTTAAATTGGTAGCTCCCCAAACTAAGAGATCGGTAGTGAAATGAACACGAGAAAAACAACTCACTTGCTTAATAAGTGGGGAAATAAGGGTTACTGCTGTTAATGGCTACTTCGCAAATCGTGTTACTCGGGAAGATGCGTATCAATCATAGTCACCCTCAAAGTAAGTCAACCTTCCTACATAGTATGATCGGGTGCACTCGTCTCTTTCGTGGCAGTGCCAGGAAAATTACTGTAAGACTCCCAGCAATTTACCCTATGCAGCTGACTGGAAAATGTTAGCACACCCGATAATGTCTAAGAGTGACGTGGTAACCTTGCTTAGAGCAGATATGACGAAACTTTGTCTATGACCGGATGGATTGTTCGCCGATTCCAAAAAAGCATAGTTATATCGGATCGCGGGTATTATTGGGTACATCGGCTGCCCAGCGGTACCAACATCCGACTCGATCCTACTTCGGCTCTACTTATATTAGATCGTATACACCTCAGTAGCATGCTTGCAGGAAGAAGAGAACAACTTTTATCGAACAGAATGCATTCGTAGTTATGGTGAAGGTTACCCGAAGGTAGTCTAGCGTTGGGTCTCGGGTATCGAGTTAGTTCAATGGACAATGGGTTTGTATAGCACGATTGGAAGATCGATATTGCTATATACTTAGGTGATAGTCGCAGTGGCTACTATCGATAGTCGTGCGCGCTCCTATCGATAGTCCTTGGTGTCGTGATCGGTCATGTGACTGCGAACAGTCATCGCTCTGCAGGATCGCTATCCTGGCTCATGTTCGTGCGGCGTAGTTGAGGCGTAGTCTGCCAGCGTTTCGACCCTGGGTCGTAACAACTAAATGTCTTAAATCCTTCAAAGCTTCCTATATAATCGTTAGATTACTCTTGTGAGTATTAACTAGAAGGTACTGCGTAATTAGACGTAAGAGTTAGGGGCTTTTACATCCTACTCTGTATTTTGTCAGCGAAACCTCAGACCGGTTCTATGCTAGTTAAACTTCAGTCCTAACTCTTATCAGCGAACCCATCTCTCTCGTTAGTATTATCTAGACAGCACTACAAGAAAGTAAGATTTATATTCGGCTACCTACTCTATATGTGTTACACGGGGTTGAGTGCTGATACTTCTCTAAGCTCGATCCGGGTTAGGGCGAGTAGGATAACGTGAATAGCTCCGTAAGGGTTTTATCTAGCGATACAGAAGAGTGGCGTGCTTTATAGAAAAGGTACAACAGGTTCGATAAACTCTAGTCTATTAAATAGACTAACGAGTAACAATCTTATAAAGTAAAATAAGTATTAAGAAAGGATATTTTAAGTTAACTACAACAAGAGTAAATAATAAAATCTGTCTATCCTTATATCCTTATTGCTTCTAGTTCTGTCCTCCCTAACTTCCTATCTAAGCGGAAGGTTTAGGAGGACGTTGGCTTCCCTTCACGCAGTGGCCTCCCGGAGGACATGCCTTGGCGGGATTCCAGGTCAAGTGATCTCGCCCCGTGATGATTATCCTCCTTCCCGTCAGGATCCCAAGTAGTTTTCCAACTATCTATTGACATACCCGGAGGAGAGATCCTTCCTGCTGTTACTTGTAGCAACATGCTGTTTGCCAATTGGTTCGGTACATAGTTAAGCTCCTTCAATTGTATATTCACATATAGATCAACTAATTGTTAGGTTGCTATTGACGATAGCTCATCGTGATGAGCCATTAAGCTGTCCACCAGTAGGTTCGTGCAGATAGGTATTGCTGAATCAAGCTCACAGACCTCGCCTAGCTTGAACATGGAGACGGAACCATAGAACGAATCGCGCAGAAACCTGTCGTGGCTAGTCTGGAATTGACGCCGGATACTGTCCCAAGGCGCATCATCTTTTATATTCACTAGACGATCAGACTCGGCACCTGTTGGAATTTGCTTGTGAATTCGTTAGTATCATGCAGAATTGGGGTCGATCTGGAAAACGCACTCTTTTGAGGAGACTAACGAAAACGTCGTCTACCACGATCTCATCCTCATGCATGATGAGCGACTCCCGCAGGTGAGCCCACGGAATGAAATCTATGGCTATGCTGTGCCTATAGGTAGTTCTATATGTTAGCCACCTCATATTCTGCCAGGTCACCTCAGTGATGTTATTTTACTCACTCAAAGGTCTTCTGGATATCGGTTGGACGCAGCCAAGCTGGCATCGTATCGTGAAAGACATCCGAGTAAAATCCAAGCTCAGTTGCAGTGGCCAACACACCGCAGTCAGCCAGACGAGGTAGTACCCAGAAAGTTTTGACGATCTGCCACACGACCCATGCACAACCGCCGGACAAGGACATGGACTCGATACCGAGCAACTGCATACACATGGCTTGCATAGAGAGAATCGTGTTGACCAAGCCGTTCACCAAGATTTGCTCCATAGCCTGGATAGACTGGAGCGAGACCAAATCGCCAGAGCGTGTGCACGAGTCGATGACTTCATCTGTCCGGCGCCGGAGCATGATAGACATGAGTTGTGTTTTTTCTGATTTATCATGGCGCCCTAAGCAACCTGACGAGCGGCAGATGTTTCTAAGGTTCCCAGGCGTGCGGAAGAGAAAGCTGTCGAAGTCTGACATGGGACTCTTGCGGCCCGTTAATAATCGTTGCGCGTCTTTGTTGGTATGATCCGCAGACGGTTGGTGAAAACTGCCTCCCCCGAACCGACGTTGGCCGTGATGATCAGCCCCAACAGAGTCAGGCGGTTGAGATTCGTCAGACACTCCATTCCAGATTAAAGCGAGGTTAATTGAAAGCTCGTCTTGGATTGGTGCTCGGGCGATTATATTGGTACTGGGTTGAGCAGGTCCTGACGCGTGACTGCATAGTTGGCTGGGCTGAATGGGTGCGTCATCAGTCATGAATTGCAGGCTAGTATCCGCGTTCAACACAGCATTCGGCATCGAGGTGTCAAATTGGGCTGCTGAAGCTCCTTCTTGGTCAATCGCCCTCTCCAGGTCTTCTCTGTTGGTGTCATCTGTGAAGGGTTCCTGTCCGCGCTCGGATAGCCTCTCGCCTTGGGCCGAATGACAACTGCCAGAAGGATTATAGTCACATTGCGACTCTTTTTCAGTGGGAGTAGTAGGGCAAACGAGTGCATTGTGTTGACGTTGCGTGGAGATACCAGCGATGGAGATATCGGTTCCGCAGATCTGAGAAAGGTTACAGATAACGTGTTCCAGGAGCTCCCTCAGCGCGGCTTTTTCTTCACGAAGCCGGGCAACTTCCAGTCGGCGATGATCGATTTCCTCGCTGGCACCGGCACGGCATAGAGCCAGCTCATTCTCAAGGTGGGCGATGTAGTCCTTGCGTTGGCGACGGAATTTGCGCTGTGCGAGGCGATTAGCGACACGTTTGCTGTCTTCGGTGTCAGGCAAGGAGTTGTCAGGTTGTAAGTTCGCGGCGGCGCGACGAGTTCGTTGCTGTCCGGATGCCATGGTGCCGAAGCCAGGCTGGTCACATGCGGGACAGTCTCAGTCGTTACCCGCAGTCACTATTCACTAACAACTTGTGGTAAACACACCAACAATTCCGAGGAAATTCCCAGATCTAGACGAGTATAAAGAAGTCTGCAAGGCTAATGTCAAGGCAACTGAAGAAGATTGCGCGTCAGAGAGTCCAGTCCTGACCGCTCCGTGCTCCAACATCTTCTCCACCCAGAACCTGCCTGGGAGATGAAGACTAAGGGTCTGTTCGGCGGATCAATTCCATCGCCGAACGCTTGACAGGAGGCGGCAGCCGCATTAGCCAGGTATAGTATAGTAATCTTCAACCCCGCAATGCCTATTTTCGTTAAGAAAGGGCACGTAATCGTGCTTGGCCAATTGTGCCCTCTAGAGGATAAGGGCCATCATCTACACCTATTTGGCACGTGCTATTCCTGTCTAGCGCTCGGCGCCTAGGGCAGAGAAATACGGCAACAAAATAGGAAGAGGGTTAAGCTTGGTCTAGCGTCAAGACCTCTTGCGAGGTTGTGCAGGAAAACGGAGCCCCCGGCTTGCGCCAAACTCCGCCACCTTTCTGCCCAAACGGAGATTTCAAAACTTTGGATCAAATAGACTTTAACCAAATGCTGAATTGAGGGTATCCTTTGCATGGCACCAGAGTATCCCTGCGTTGTGATGCACCTGTGTTGTGCTAGTGACGTGGTCTCAGCCCAACTCGTCCCATTCGTTCAAAACCCGACACCCCGGCTCCTCATATCGCCATCCGGACAAAAGGGATAGCGCAGTCGGAGGGCCCGGAACCGAGTTAATGAGGACGCGAGTGATGGTTAACCGCCTAAGAACCGACTTGTCAGTGCTAAAAAGCGTCTTCGGGGTCTCCGAGCGTGGTTCATAGCCGTGAGTCCGTTCTGTTACTCTGTTCTCTGCCCTGCATACCCACCTACTTGCGATTACGTAATGGTGTGTTAGGTAACGCGCTGGCTGAGAAATAACACGCTCACACTAGAGGTTGCCATAATCATTCCTGTCATGTAGAGATCCAGTCTAATCCCAAAAGGCTCTAGGAAACCAGTCGCTGCGAGAAGGCCAACCGCGTTGTATGCCAACGCCCAGATCAAGTTGATCCGGGCTTGCTGAATAGTCTTCCTCGCAATTCGAATGACCTCGTACAGACCTTTCAAATCTACTCCGGAAAGTAAAGTCACTTCTGACGATGAAGAGAAGGCCATGGCGGCCCCGAGATCGCCGCTGTCTCGTCCTGCACAGATTGCAATACCGACGTCCGCGGCAGACTGAGCAGCAAGATCATTAAGGCCATCCCCTACCATGGCAACTGCGCCACCACGGCGCTGTATGTTCCGAATAATAGTTTCTTTGTCCCAAGGTAAGGCTTCTGAAGTAATATGGTCGCTGGAAACGCCCACAATACTTGCAACTCGCTCGGCTTCCTCTTTGTTGTCTCCGGTGATCAAGCTGACGTCTAGTCCAAGTTGACGAAGCCTGCTGAGAGTCTCATGAGTCTCCGGTCGAACAATATTCTCGAGGACAAAGTGACCAGCATATTTCCCGCCGACACTAATGTAAACAGCCTGAGTGGACGTTTGGTCAACAGCAAAGGATGTCTTTTCCGACAGCATCCCCCTCTCTTGTAGCAATCTCAAGCTCCCAACGACGACCTCCGTCGACTCCTCCCCAACCGTGAGAGAGACCTTCGCTATAACCCCTTTGCCCATTTTGACAGTAGAATCCTGGGTAACCATAATTTCGAATTGTCTTCTCTTTGCTTCATCGAGCTGACTAAACGCCCATCGAAAGAGAGCTCGACCAACAATATGGTTGGTGTGCTCGTTCTTTTCGGCAGCACAGATCAATAGACAAAGATCTTGAATGTCTATGCCATCAGGAAACTTCGCTTCTGATACTTCAAGCCCAGCTCGCGTGAGTGTTCCGGTTTTGTCAAAAGCCATGTGTGTCAAGGTTGCCAACTTGCCAAGGGTTTCCAGGCCGCCCTTGACTAAAATGCCATGCCGAAGTGCCGCATTGATTCCTGCCATTGTAGCTGCGGGAGTCGCAAGTCCCAGGCTGCAAGGACAGGCCACAGAAAGAATCAGCATGGCCCTCCTTGTAGCAGCGACCCAGGCCCTCATCAAGTCCTCGCTAGCCCATAGCGAAGTAATTCCAGTAGCAAAGAAACATATCGCGGCAAGGGTCATGACAACTCTGGCAAAGTAGCTTATGACAGCCGTCAGGCCCGGTATCATGTCGCCTCTGGTGTTATCCGAAGAGGACGAAGACGCCCGCACAGCATCCACTAGCCGCGACAACGAGGATTTCTCAGGTGGATGAGTTGCCACTGCCTCAAGCGTAAACGAGAGATTTGTGGTACCGGACATGATAAGATCGCCAGGGTGCTTGGTCTGATAAGCTGCTTCACCCGTCAAGAGCGATGTATCGACAGCAGAGGTTCCACTAGTGATGTAACAGTCACATGGAACCACGGAGCCAGCTGGTATCAAGATCTTGTCGCCAGGCTGGAGAAGAAATACCGGCTGGCTGGTCCTCTTGGGAAGAAGTATAACATGCGATTCGGTACATCGGACTTTGTGGAGAGCAATGATCTTTGAGGTTGCTTTCGCTCGGAGAGCTTGATTAAGGCAGCGTCCTCCAAGGACCGCCGTGACAAGTAAAGCGTTGCTCGTATGAAGCATCATATCAGAGCGACGGGATCGCTCAATGAGACTCCCAGCTCCGAACACGAGATCCGCGAAAGAGATCTCCAATCCTAGAAGTACAGAGATGCTTAGGAGTGTGTCCATGTTGGTCTTGTCACCATGCCACCAAGCACCAATATGTATGCTGCGACCAAACCATAGCTGTACAAACCATGCTGGGATGATAGAGAAGAGAATGTAGAGAGAAGATGCCGACTCGATACTCACGAGTTCGCCACATGAGGCTATTGCATAGTGGAAGGACCAGGCAAGCACCGATAAAATAGCAGCACCCCGAAAAGCAGCTTTCAGTTGCTCCAATTTAGACTTTCTGGAGAGCACGTCCAGGAGTTCCGTATCATCCTGCTTGACTGAGGCCCCGTAGCCAGTGTCTCGGATAGTTGTCTGGATTCTCCAAAGTCCGAGCAGCCTTCTCTTATATACAACCGTAGCTGAAGATACCAGCAGCGAAGTTGTGACTTTGACCACACCCGGTAGTTGGCGTACTGCTTCTTCAATAGTTCTGCAGCATAATTCGCACGTGAGGTCTGACAAGGTGAAATGCTGCGCCACAACCTCCTCATCGTCCACAGTGACTACTCCATCCTGCACATCTTCAAACGTCTTAGCCTCGAGGTATTTCTCGGCCATGTGCTGTGTATTGAGGTACTCGAGCGCGCGTAGCGATCGGTGTATGATTAATGCTGCAAAAATGCAGCACGCCATACTAATAGCGGTGTGTGCCTGGGCTGTGTAAGTGAAGTTAGAAGGAATACAATGGCAGGATTCCAGACATATATTTGGCAGTTGAGTCAAAGTTGAGGTTTTAATAATGGATTCGTAGGTAACAAATGTGTCATAGAGTCTTACATAAATTAGTGTAGTCTCGCTAGTGATGACCGACTATTGTGTAATTGCCGTCTCTTTTCCAAATGACATATAATGTTATGATTGGTTGACTCGTGATTCCCTATATTTTTTCCTGTTCATAGGAATATTGGAGAGTCCTATCGTGAGTTCCTGCTATGCAGGAACACCTCAGGGCTGATCTAACCTCCCTCCCCACGCGGCGAACAACCCGGTGGGCCGAAACCAGCCAATGAGACACTGCGTTAGGTCGGGATATCTACTATCCTTGCGCCCTCATTGGCTGGTTGAAAGTAAGGTAAAGGTTGGAGAATTATAGGATAATGTTTTTTATTTTTTCAGCTAGATAGCATTAGCAAGAAGAGACGATTCTAAAGTTACCCTTTTTGTCTCTTTAGCTGTTGTGGTTATGGTTTTATTAAGAAAAGAAAGATATATTTATAAAGAGTTTATTAAGGAAAGATACAATAACCTAGAATAAGTGTTCCTAATATATTTAATAGACTGATAGGTAAGAATCTTATTAGATTAAGGAAAGGCATGTAACTCTTGTACATCATGGCATCATATATGCTGATGAATCTTGCATACATATAGACAAAACCATGTAGTTTCTTTGCAGGCGACTATTATGCCAGAATTTGCTTTCCTGGCAGCTTGCTTGCAGCCTACTTGCCGCTTGCAGGTGGTCTACATACAAACTCCACCCACTAGTTGTTCTCGGAGGTTGATTTGATACAATATACGTGGTACAACCTTACCCTATCACCAGCACACAACAGTTTTGTGGAGGAATGATCCAATGGTTAAATCTTTTCGAAATCAAACGCGACGGCAAATTTGAATCCGGAGTGTTTAGATCATCTCCTCTTCAGCTGATAGCTTCTCTCAGTCTTTGCTACTATCTCATTTCCCTCGTTGACACCATGGCCATTGAAGCGATTGAAAATCAAGGTAACGAGAAGCATCATGGGAAATGTGACCCTGTAGACATCATCGGCCTGTCATATCGGTTCTCTGGAATGGCAGATACCCCTGGTGCCTTTTGGCAGATGCTATCCAAAGGCATGACCAGCTGGTCTAGAGACGCTCGTGACAGATTCAATCTAGAATCTTTCTGGCACCCCAGGAGCGATCTCCCCGGCTCAGTAAGCTTCCACAAGTTTTTCAAATACCATAGTGATGTCTTACGTTCGATAGTTCAATGCCAGTAGGCTTCATCTACTTCGCCAAAACCCTGCTGTCTTCGACAATGACTTTTTCAGCATCAGTGGATTAGAGGCGAAAGCAATGGATCCTCAGCAGCGTCTCATGCTTGAATTGGCGTACGAAACCTTCGAGAATGCTGGTCTCACCATGGAGGTCCTTGAAAAATCCAAGACCGGAGTATACTGTGCGTCAACATATCAAGATTACGATCAGATTCTGGGTCGAGATCCTGAGCTCTCAGCAAAGTATGTTATGAATACCTGTATCTAGATAGGCGATTGATGGTATAATTCTAACATACTAGTAAGACACCGCTTCACTGGAACAGGAACATCAATGCTAGCTGATCGCATATCTTACTTTTTCGACCTGCGTGGGCCGAGTATGACCATTGATAAGGCATGCTCTAGCACTTTGGTTGCCCTAAATGAGGCCTGCAGTGCTCTCCGTATGGGTGAAATTGATCAGGCATTGGTTGGCGGCGTGAACCTTATCTTGGACCCGGATAAACCTATGGTTCAATCCTCGATGCCGTAAGTATTACTAGGTTATGTAAAGGTCTCAATTGTTAAGGAATATATTTTACTCGTAGGTTCTTGTCACAAGATGGCAGATGTTATAGTTTTCATAGTTTTGACGCTCGTGCCAGTGGTGAAGGAGTGGTGAAGGAATGGCTGGGATCATGTTCAAGCCGTTGAGTACAGTCCTGAGAAACGGAGATCCTATACGGGCTATTGTTCATGGTACATCCGTTGTCTCAGATGGTAGAACTCCAGGCATTACCATGCCCAGAATGGACTCTCAGGTTGAGGCTATAACGAAAGTGTACAAGCAGGCAGGCCTTACTTTAGCCGACACAACATACATCGAAGCACATGGTAAACTCTAAATATCGTATAAATATTGAGGCGCTATCTGATCATACCATAGGTACAGGAACTATAGTTGGCGACAAAGCTGAAGCTTTGGCGTTCGCAACAACAATGGGCAAAGACCACACAGAGCAAGTCATTGTTGGGAGTGTCAAGTCAAATCTAGGACATATCGAAAACGCCTCTGGTCTTGCATCGGTGATCAAAACAGTTTTAATGATGGAAAATGGTGCCATTCCACCGGTACTTCGCCAGTAACATGTTTCTGAATGCCTTTGCTCGGAATCGTACGCATAGCGGCCGTCCAGCAATCAGTATTGATGTTGGAATGATAGCTGGTGAAGGTATCGCAGCTGAAAATGAGCATATTGCAATGTCTCATCGACGCCTAGGTATGCGCCAGTACACCATTGACAAGTTCCTGGCCGTCGTGAATTTTGCGATGACGAATTGCGTAGCGAGTAGACCGGAGAATGCTCAGATAATATTAGGCAATAGGCATGAAGTCCTGGACTCGTTCCATGACGAGGCCTCTCAAAAATACCGAGATCCAAAGTTCCTGCACGTCTATACACGTACATCTGGCCATCACCACAGGGTCAGCGGTGGAAAAGAAGTTATTTTCGATATTCAGGCTGCACTGCGGACCGTCAGCACTCCTGAGATGGCAAAAGAACTCACCAGGCGAGCATTGAGAAGCAAAGTTGCACAGCTTTTGGTGCTTCCTGAGCAAGATTTGCAGCCAGTTCGCTAAGTCGCGAGTTATCCTTCGTAAGCTAATTAAATATCTACTTAACCTAAGCTAGCGCGAGCTAATTATTACTTTATCTAGATAGACTACTATAGTAAAAAATTTAGTGTTTTTTAGCCTCTAGGTCCCGCAGCTATTTATCGCGAAGACTATCTACTTTCTTAAAGATTATTATAGGATCTACTAAGCTCCTATTAGTATAGATACACCTAATAATCGTAATTTAGTCTCTACTTCTATCTTAGAGTGCCTTACGTATCTTCTTTTACTCCTATATAGCTTTTAAAAAGATTCTTTTAGATAGTAAGATCTAGCTAAGTAAGAAGCTCTTCTTATCTATATTATAGATATTATATAGCGTAACCTTATATTAATTAAGCTTAGTATAAAGGAGATTAAAATACGATTAGTATTTAGCTAGATTTTCAGCTAAATAACGGTTGTGGTTAATACTAGTAGCTTTTCTAATATATAAGTTATCGTAGTAACGGTGTAAAAAATGAGTAACCTAGCTATTAGAGGGCTTCTATTCTATAACAATAGCTATATAATTTTGAACTATAGATTAAGAAGGTAGTAGCCCGCGTTTTAATAGTTTTTCTATATATTTTACTAGCTTAAATTCTTATAGTAGAGTGAGTAATTAACATTTTTTTACAGCTGCTATTCGCAACTAGGTTTTATTTTAGTGCCGGCGCATTAATATTATAACTATAACACTAAACTTTTTTATAACTGCGCGATATAAGAGTTGACCTTCTGCATCTTGCGAATTGATTGCCGCAATCGCTTTCTCAATGGCTGTCATGGTGGTGGAGATATCACGTGTTGAAAATGATAGGTAGATATTTTGATGGGGCAGATAGTGTTGCATTGGCTGAACTGTTGCACGCACTGACCATATGCAGTAATACGGATGTAGGTTAAGCTTGCGACCCGCACCTCTACGGGTACGAAACCTTTTGCAAAGGTGGAGGCTGCGGGCATAAACGCTATGCGCATAGTCAAGCTAAGGATTAGTTAAAAGAATATTAGTGTGTGAGTTAGCTTAAGTCGTTGAGGCAGCGAGCGTGATGCTTTGTCGTCGATAATAACCTAAGCTGCTCAGGGAAGACCTTTATTCAGAGCCTCTGCTACAACGCCTATATAGATGTACACGTCTTTAGTGAATAAGAGCGAGGATTCAATATTAGTTACCCAGAGCTTTGAGAGGGTGCTGTAGAGGACTTGGAGGATAAAGGTGGCAAAATTGAAGATGAGCGCGTCAAGATACCTAGAGCCATTGTATCAGTCCGTAGAGGGCCGCTATAACGGAGACGGAAACTATGCCGACCGCGAAAAGAGCGAAATTTCCAGCTTACAGATGTATCACAAGTTTCAGTCCTATGGTCTACGGCCATTGATCGGTTTAATACCCGCTCGTTAGATCCAGAGACCTCGAGGGAGGCGTCATCTTTGGGCAACATCCTGTAGCGATACTGCGACCGTAACGCGGATGTCGCTATCGTCTTCTTAAAGGGTCTCAAGGAGTTCGTTAATCCACAGATATAGGGTTTTGTTGAGCGGGGAAACCTTCCCGTCTCCCAGGGTTGAGTAGTTATGCATCGATGTCTGGGTAGAAACATAGATCGCGAGGCGCTATTTAGCTCGCTTGCAGAGCATACCATACACGCTATCTCTATATCACTAATGTTGCAAGTAACAAGAAGGATTCGTTCCTTAACGAGGCGGGAAAAGCCAACCAACAGCCACGTCAGAAGATGGTCATCGTGGGGCAACGATCACGTGGTGTGACGTCCAGCCATGACTGACCATTCAAGGAATGGCAGGAGGCCTAGGGATGGCGGACCATCACAACTATCACTGACATCCCAAGAAAGTGAAAGGCAAGTATGATAGTAGCATTGTGAGCAATTCAGATAACGGATGAATGAACTTCGTTATTACTCTGGTTGCGGTTTACTCATATAGTACTTTCTTACAAGCTCTTTTCCTAACAAGATTATTGCTAATTAGTCCATAACGATATGGATTAGATTATCTCAACCCTCGGTTCTCCTGCCTGCCCTACCCGATAGTTGCTTGGGAAACTAGCCGTTTAGGTCAACTCGGGGTTAAGACCTAGTAAGCGCAAATCTAAGTTAACATGTGCTATATTTATGAACACTAACTCTCCACTGAACCTCATCTTATAACTCACGCAATATATATCACGGCATAATGAAAAATAGTTCGTTGGATGCGCGGGTTTTCTGCATTCGAGACTAAATTTGCGTCAATTTTGAATATGCTTCTAACTCTATCTGCTAATACTAATTGGTCGATAGATAAGTAGTGGTAAAACGCAATATCAAACCATTTCCCCCAAGAGACTATAGCTCTGTTTGGCACAATGTGTAGGGTATGTTGTTTTTCTCCTCATTCAGATCATAAGTCATCGCCCTCTGTACACTTGCCCCGTTTACAACCTTCACAATAGTCCTGCTCATGTGGTTTGGTTAATTTTCTATCGTAATCTGGTTGCATCACTTCTACACCTGCCCATCTTTTAATCCTATATGATATCCGCTCAATGTAGGATTCTTCATCCATTACAAAGGTGCCCAAGCAATTGCAAGACTTGCACCTCTGATTATACACAATTGCTCTGTACCCATTCCTGCCATATCCGCTTATTTCGATGGCCACCTTTTTGCTGGTCCAAAGTTCCTTCTTACATTCGTTGTTGTGACACGTGAATTTTCCCATCATGTGGGTGTGATATCGGCAGCTGAAGTTCTCGTCGTCGTCATTCTCATTGAACCATATTGTGATTATTTCAGGAAGGACTGCTTCTGCAATCTTCGAATGGAGCTCTGGGAACATGAAATATTCTCTTGTCTCTTGTTTCAATCGAAACCTTTTGCTCTTGGCTATCTTCGGGGGCGTGGTAGTAATAGCGACTGGATTGGCTGAGAGGAGTGTTTGGGCGGAATTTTGAAACGTGAATGCTGATGTGTCGAGTATGGAACACCTAGCTAGGACGGTGCTCAATGCGGCCTCGTCTGGATGATGATTCAATGAAGCCTCTTGGTCGACCTTACACTGCAATCTATGACGCACAAGTGCTTTCTCACTTCTGAACGTGCAATTGCAAGTCTCGCAAGAAAAGGTCTTCTTGTGCATCGGCGAGTTCTTTTTGTGCTGCTCAAAGGCTCTACTGCTGCTGAATGAGCGATTGCAAGGGACACACGAGTAGTTCATTGTATGAAAGAATGTATCTTTTTCTTCGATTCGCTTTGAAATGGATAGTTGGTCACGATAGCAATCGCTGGTGCTGGAAGCGCTAAGCGTAGCCTTTAGAAGGAATGCTGAACAGTATTGCACCTATGTTGTATAATAGGGGGCTTTTCGTCAGCCCAATAGCGTAGTTACACATGTCAAATGATAATGCAGGTAGGCATGTTACACAACAGATTGAATGAGAATATGCGGCGATCCTAGGGGTGCGGGGTAAGTTGAGTAGTTTGAAGGAAAACTAAGTGAATAGAATGCTGTACACCATAAATCAAGTGGGGGACTTATAGTTTAAAGGCACTTTCGCTTTCATCTTGACATAGTTTGCTGTCGGTTGTTAGTAAAGTCGGCAAAGTGGCTGACCAATCGTTTGACCTTGTAAATTTTCATTTAAGTATCGAAAGAACGACAGCTAAGTAAGGATTACACCAAGTTATACCATTTGAAGGGTCAAAAATCCCTTATTGTTGGGATTTTGTGATAAGCAAATCATTTCAGATATGATTATCTATTTTAGAAGGATATAATTTTGGAGTAAATGCAGACCCAGAGATGGTTGCTGTGCATCGAAGATACTGATTTAATGCTGGTGATTCTCTCAAAGACGCCGTTAGTCATGCATCCGCTTTAGTTAAAGTGTAGTAGACTCTGGATTACTGAATTCAGTGACTAGGTATGTAGCTTTTACATAGCTATCACTTCAGTCCTCCCATCGCTTCCCTAATCGTCTATAGACCTTTCTCTAGCATACTCTTCCTAGAATCTAGGCGAATATGTTGCTGCGTGATCTTAGGAGGCTCAGCAGCAAGAAATTCGATCTCTTTCTCTGTAATTTGCGTCACAACCAGAGGTGAAAGGATGATACCAGGCAGAGGTGTGAACATACACCTAACCTAAAGCAGCTTACTCAGTTATGCAGCGCTTTGCCAAGCGTCCCAGGTCACCCGAAAACCAGCTCGGAATAGAAGTAAGGCTAGGCTTGAAGGTCCTGCCGTATAACTCATGTCAATAAACACATCCAGATGAAAATACAACACGCTGTATATTAATAGGCTTTTTATAGAATGCGAAAGCTTTCGACATGCCTACGGCTAGCAAAAGTGACGTAGTTGCGTCGGGCTTTTATGTAATTATCACGCTGTACGGTAAGTAGAACCTATTTCTAAAGGATATTAGTTAAGCGAGAATAAACTTTGTAACCTATAGCTATCATTCCGAGAATTTCTATTCTTACAAACTATTGTTGGATTTATTATTTTGTGGAGTGTCTGTAGCTTCCCGTCACACATGGTGTTTCGTCACGCATGGAAGGGCGTTAGCTGTCACCGAAATCACGGCTGTTACAGGCTGTATTGATGCAAATTATACGAATCGGGTAGTAGCATATAGTTGAAGATTATATACCGCCAAACGTAAGCAGGCTTTGAACGCTCACTCCACTGAACCCACGTTTGCACAGCAGTTCCCGCCCACAGTGAATGGGGAATTCGGCAATAACCATTGCGCTCACATTCTCAGCAGCAACACCAGTGTCTCTTAACATCTGCAGCACTGCGCAAAGCGTTTCGCCCGAAGCTAGCGTGTCATCGACTACCACGATTCCACCGTTCTTAGGCACAGCACTTCGTTCAACCTCTATCCGCTTCTGTTTTGAGTCGCTGCGGATCAAAGACGAGACGTGTGATTGAGATTTCACAGCAGAAACGGTGGGTGGGGGAAGCTTACCAGCTTCGCGTATGAGTAGTAAGGGGACATTGACTCGCAGAGATAGAGCAGAAGCAAAAACGATGCCACCGACCTCGCAACATGCCACCGCAGCGACGTTGCTCCAGTCGCCAATGAAATGACTCTCTAGGAGAGATGTGCACAAAGCCAGTCCGTTCGGTTGTTGAGAAATACCTAGCACATGGCGGAACACGACATTTTCATGTGGGAAGTCGGGTACTGGACGTACCATGTCAGCAAGTCGCAGTAAGTCTTCGTGAACCAAGGGCAGTAGGTTATTCTTAAAAAAGTTTCTCGCAGCTTCATTCCCATGCACTTCGTTGTCAAACACAGCACTGGGTCGGTAGCTCAACGCCTCCTGATGTGGCTTGACTAGTTTAATCGTTTCGTCACGTGCAAGACCCATGCCCTCGTGATCAAGCCCTTTACGCGATCGTCGCGTTTGTTCACTGGCTTGCACATAAACCTCGAGAAGCTTGCTATTTGGCACAAGATGCGACAAGGCAGCAACAGGTGCTTTGTCTCGCATACCGGTGATCACAAGTACGCCCACATCGGCAGCACCATGTACCAATCGCATGAATTGCTCCTCTGGCAGCCAAGGTTGGTGCTGTAGTTTTTCCATGAAGTATGCTGTCAGGGCTGGGCGGTGCTGCTCCTTGTAGGCACGATCAGAAAGCAGCCGATCAGGGTCGGCACCAGTAGCCACCGCGTATTCCCGCTTGGTCGCTTCACTGATGCTTACAGCACGAGTCGTGAGGGCACATTCTGCGAACATAGAGACCCACACATCGGCACAATAGTCTTTGCCAGCACAGCTTTCACCGGTGACGAGAAGGATGAGCTTCGGACCCAATGGCGGTTTCGGGAGCGGACAGGCGTAAGCTAGCACATTTCGCGGATCCATCCTATTTTTGAGTTGAATGAGCGGTTGCCTGTTGACGCCAAAGGCTCTGCTAGCAAATGCAGCGTCCCTCGGGTCGGGTCCGAGGTCGGCGCAGTAGGCCCCAATAGACAAAGGCAGCAAGTCATCTGCAACACTGTAAACCCATTCTACGGCAGCCCGGGCGACTCCGGTGCCATCTTGATCGCGAGGCCAAACGCCAGTGATCACACAAGCAAAGTGCCAGTCTCGACAGCCAAAAGCAGTAGCCTCAGCCGCGACGTCACTAATCGCCTCTCCTCCTTGCAGTAGGTGAAGGTAGCACAGTGGTGACGGGCGAGCTTCCATGGCTACCACCAAGCGCTCAGCTATCTTGGGATTACCTATGTCTTTCACGAACAGGCAACGCTTGAACGAAGACGTCTTGCCCTTGCCATGCCCACCATGCATTTTCGAAACGTACATTTCTGTCTCAAATAGACCGACGCTGTCTACCATCTTAACTTCGTCTTCCTCTGCTCCGAGATGTGAACTGACGGTCGTGGAGAACGAACATTTCGACACCGGGGATGCGGTTGTAGACTCAATCATGGTGAAGCCAAGGTGCAGTTTACAATCTTCCCAGTATAGGTAGGCATCTGCAGAACAGTTCCGGCTGAGCTTCCTCGCAATAAGTTCGTCAAACTGGCCAAGCTTGAGCTGCGCTTCAAGGCCACCGCTGAGTGGCACAACCCAGTTCCGAACGATATATACTGGAGCTGTATAAGCCTTGAAAGTTACACTGACGATGATGCCGAGATTTGTTCCTGCGCCTCTTAACCCCCATAGAATTTCGGTTTCGTTCTCTGCTCGAATAGACATAGCTGGTTGATGTTCACTCGGAACATAGCCCACACAAAGGACCTGGCCAGAATCAACACTGACCATAACAGCGCCCACGATAGCGTCGCAGCCCAAACCATGCAGTCGAGCCAGATGTCCGATGCCACCTTGTAGCCATAATCCTGCACCTACACTTGGTCGGGATCCCAAGGGCACTATCACGCCTGCCGCCATAGCTTTCCTAATGACGTCTCCCGATGTGCAGCCAGCCTCGACGACGACGAAGGCGCTTGAACCAGAATTGTCAAGCAAGTCTTCCTCTTCTTTACCATGAACGTAAACTTGGTTGAAGGCACCCATGTCGATTGAGATGACGTTGTTCCAAATACAATGGCCGCTGTGTCCTCCACCAATGATGATCAAGCCGACCGCGTGCTTGAGGGCCCACCGCACACACAGCTGAATGTGGTAGATTTCTGTTGGTCTACAGATTGCCGCTGGTCGACGCAGATGAGTCTCCCGATTCTTGATCTGCCTATCTGTCCTCAATGCTGGCAACTGTGCTGTGAGCTCTGATACTCTGGCCGCATGCTGATTAAAGGCTACCATAACATCCGGCGAGCGGAATGACAAACAACTTGGATAGGCATCCTCACGACGACCTAAAACCCGACACACCTCCCTCCACTGAATTTGGACAGTCTTTTGCACTTCTTCATCATGCATAACGAAGCCTGCAATGAAGGGAGTGAAGTCGTCCAGGACTTGATCTTTATCTGCCACCCTGACCACTCCAGTCGGGAAAATAGCGGTTTGGTGGCACACCAGGCCATCAAAGTGTAGATTTCCGTCACGATGGAAAACTAACACTATTCCGCCCCTCCTCTCTCCAAGCATTTCCAGTGCTTGTTCGATGGCTTTTCGTTTCGATCGGATACCGTACATGCTGTGGCAAAAGAGGATCACGTCGTATCCCCCACCTTCTTCAATGGTGTCACTACTGTTGTTCTGCTTCATGTTCTGCTGTGGATCAAACGGCAAACGATGAATTATTGGTGGCCTTTCCAGGCAAGGGAATCGTGACCTCATAACAGTATCGACCGAAAGCCATCCTTCTAGACTTGCTGCAAACAATTGGTTGGGCTCAAAAGCTTCATATTGTCGGATTTTTCTCCTTTGGTGATCTGGGAGACCACCAAGCACGCTCTTAGGGCCAGGTCCAATTTCGAGAGCAGAGATCTGGGATCTCGAGTCGAATAGTGACGCCAGGACCTGAGTCAATTGTGGGATAACGAAATCCTGATAACCTGTCGAACCCTGCACCAAGATATTGAAACCGTTGTCGTACTGTGTATCTGATAATGTCTGCCTTGAAGTCGTTGCCTTGACGTCTGTCTTCGACCGGAGGGCGCTTTTTAAATCTTGCAGAGTAGCCATCTTGTTCGCTTCTCAAACACTCAAGGTAGAGTACTAACGATAGTGGCATCCGCCGACATCAGTCGATTGATGAGAAATCTACACTCTCATGCACTTGCAGGCTCCGGTTGTAAGCAGGCGACCTTTGATGCCACACCAAACCTCTGTTGCCTAATGATAACTTTATCCGGGTATTACTCTCCGCTTTTGGCAATGTAACAAGTCAATTATATACTAGGATATCGGTCCAATCAAATTCTAATGCTGGTCGAGCAGGCGTTTCCGTACATATGCACCATAGGCGGGCCGATGTGCCGCCCGAAATGAAAGACAAGCAGCATGTAGAAAGCGGAAACTGCAAATTTATGTAGGTGTACACATTTGTAGTGTGGTGTCTTTCACGTCTTATCAATACAGTACTACTATGTGTTACCTTCTAGATGGAGTTCAGTCCCCATAGGGGCAACATGCGCGGGCTGCAGGCTGGCTTTCCTCGCCTTATCACAGCGTTGAATGATAGTAGCCATGTCGCACGCATTCATACTAATTGTTCATGATTATGCGGTTATTATGGGGTGCTCGTCCCACGTCTGGCCGGTTGATGCCGTGGGCAAAAAGCGCTTAGTGGATGGCTGTAACCCTACGGGCATGTGAGCGCGCCCAGCACCTTTAATCTCATCTTGCGTCTGTTGGGATGTTTCGCCAAGACCGGATAATTGTAGTGCGCCAATGGGTGTTGATTCGCTTTGTGAAGGATCTGAGTCGCAGCAAAATCTCGTGGCCTGCGTACTCTTGCTGCGCTCTTATATATCCATCTGAGTACTTTTGCTGATAACTGAGCTATCAAACAGCACCTTTCTCTACAACGGCATACAGTAATTTTCTTTGCGGCTCTTTTGAAGTAAAACAAGAAGCACTTCTATTCAATAATTTATCCAACATATCACATCTCCATACATATTAATGCTTCATGGATTCGAAATGGAATAGAGATACACCTGTCTCGAACCAAGAGACTAGTGGTGCGTGGAGCAATTCATATGAACTCAAAGCTTGGATGCAGGGCAAATTGCAGAAAAACGAATCAGACGTGGTAGATATGGGCGATAGATATGGTGGAGACAAAGGAGCAGAGAACGGGAACGACAAAGCGGCCAACAACATAATGCAACGCTCAGAGCTAGAGCAACGAAGACAAGAGATTTGATGCATACCCTTGTTTCCCTAATATAGGCGATTTAGCAGAGTTGCGCAGCAGATTTCGCCTTATGACTGAACCGTTTGTTTAAGTAATTGAAGAAAAAGTGGCGTTTCTAAGCGTTTCTGCTGTTGCTTTGTTGCGACTATATTGCTTGCTTAGTTCGATACGTCGTAGAAAAATTCCAAGTTTATGACTACGGCCCAAAAGGAATGCAGCTTAGATTGATTTCATAGTCAAATGTAGCAGTGTTGGCATGCTATCCCAAATGAAAAGCTTGAATTTACGGTTTATGTACTGTGTTAAAAGACTCTCAATCATTCCCCAGGCTAGATCGGATCGTCCGCATACAATCCTATTTTAGCGCTTTCCAATTCGAGTACGGCGGTACTTAAACATGGTTATGAGATAGGGATCAAATTATGAGCTGTTCTTAGCTTTACAGATCTCAATACTCAAAAGAAACATGTCTTGTAAATCTCCTAGTTACTCCGTATAGGAGACTGTGATAAGACCTCTTTTGTTTCAGCATTCAATTTAGTATCTCTAATTACTGAACACTTCTTTATATCTGTGAGAATTGGAGCGCGGCCGCGGAATAGACCTCGAGCATCGTATCCATACCTACCCAATAGTGCTCGATCAAGACGAACGATTGTTTGCTTATGGTTGCGGTTTTAACCCCTTTACTATGAGCTTATCAAAGCGATCAGTTGGCCTTACACGTTGCTAGCAACTACAGCTTCTCAACATTATAGCTATCGCCTTCCTTTTTCTTCCTACCCTGGACTTGTTCTTTCTTGTAGTTTGTCACTGGAATGTCAGCTTTGATATTGGAGGTTTACTTCTAGTTAGTTAATCCATAAGGAATTCTATCCAATCTACGCTAGCTTCCAAGCTCTTTGCTTGCGTTCATAAGATCTAATCGTTCTCCTTTTCCTACGCTAAGTTACATTTTCTAGCCTTCTGCGTCACCAGTCAGCGATCTGGTACCCACCGTCCACTGGAACCGCCGGGTAAGAACTGGACTCAGGGCTTTGAGAAACGCCTTCCAGCGACACAGGTGAGAAGATGTCAGGCGCTGGAATGAAACCGTCAAAGAGAAACATATACTGGAGAATAACAAAATGGTTTGGAGTGACTGGAAGGGTACTGCAACACCCTGCGACTTCTAAGGAAGTCTTCCTGTACAGATTATTTACTTTTGTCTTTACACAGCGCAATACTTTGAAGATAGATTCTGGAAGCATGTGGCGTGCTAGCGGATTAGGTTTAACTAGTGACAAATCAATTCTGGATTCCTGCATGAGTGCGTGTAACGGCTAAGTGAGGATGGCCAATGTGCAGCTTTCGACTGACAGCCTGGCGACTATGTAGGCTCATTGATTCTCCACAAACTCCCCATCTAAGTGTAACCCCAGAACACCCTCAAGAGGTGCTAGATTCTGCCTGCGTACCGACACTTCAGACGTAGTTATTATTATTATTATTTTGGTTTTACGTCCTGTCTCAGCCGGTGGGCTATATAAGACGTGCAGGCTAGGCCCGCAAGTATCTACGTAGTGCTATCACTTTGGTGTAGGTGGGGGAGGGGGCTATCTAAATCGAGGTGAGGCTCGTAGCCTAGTCTAGAGGGAGGTAGAAGGGGGTCTTGCGGGTAAAAGAGAGAGGTAGGGTGGGTGTAGGGCGAGGCCACCTAGTATAGGTGTTGCCCTAGTTCTCGAGGTTTCCTTTGTGCCAGGCCTGTGTTGCAGCCCTAGTTTCTTCAATAAAGGCAATAGTAGCCTGTATGCCTACGCTCGTGTTTAGCAGGAAGGCTAGCGATAGGGGGTCCTTGCTCGCCTCCTGCATCTTTATCCTAGCCTCCTTATATAGGCGTACAG